CTAAAATGTATATACAAAGTAAAATTTATCAACATGGCATGTAGGTCTATGTGGTATGGTACCGGTAGTCTTACAGGACCGTATTATTTACAGAGTTGCTGTATGAATTGCAAGTTAATATGTAGCTAGAACTAACAGACAACTAACTAACATTACAAGATATTTATAACAAAATATAGAGCTTAGAACTAACTGATCATAAAGGTTCATATTAACAGAATAAAGGGAAATACAAAAACTAATTAAAGTGTAACGGGTGGTAATAAACGCAACTGCCATTATTATCGTCATTATCAATCATCAGCATTATCATTATTATTATCATTAGTATTATTGTCAATTTTTTTATTATCGTTATTATATATGAATTGTAAACATTTTCATAAATATTCCTCCTCTTTCCATTAATTTTGAACAATTCTCTACTTTATTTTTCATTATTTTACGTTTTATTATTGATTTACATTCGTTTTTCTTTTCTTGGTAATTTACCCATAGTGAGTTACAAGTATCTATGCTGAAGTTAGGGTCTTGTGAATTCATAGAATATTTACGATGGATCCTACAAGCTTCTTTCCTAGATTTGATTGATTTTTCGACGTCTTCATCATACCAGGATTTACATTTACCGTTTAAAGTTTTCGATCCGAAAGATTCCTCCGCTGCTGATAAAACTTTCGTTTTCCATTCCTCCCATGCGTCATTCGCATTTAAGTGGGCAGGGTCCCAGTTCTCAAACTTTCCTGTTATTTTATTTGTCAGGAATATTCCAGACTTTCTTTTTTAATGGTGGGTCTTTACGTTTTCTGTTAGTACTAGGAGTATTAATGTCTAGAATTAATATGTTATGGTCGCTCCCTAAATGAAAAAGGCAGAGATCGTCAATAATCAATTCATTTGTTAAATTAAATACGTTGTGTGAGACAATAGCATAATCTAAAACACTGTGGCGGCAATTTTGTACCCACGTGTAAATACCAGTACATTTACAGCTACCATTTAGAATGTTTAGATCCCCATTGTCGCAAAAGTCTAACAAACCTTGCCCATTATAATTGTTAAAGTCATGGACCTTATTAATAAGTCAGAACACTCACTACTCTTGCAGCAGCAGTGCACTGAATGACGTCACGCATGTATCGGCGTTTCTATCGGCTAATGATGACGTAATATCATTTACCCTACCTTTAGCAATCGGAAGTTCCGATACGGTACCGTATCTCTAGCCACGGCGTTGCTAAATTAGAGTCATAGAATAGCCTTAAAAACAACTCCTAGTATCATAATATGGAGTTACCGGATTGTATGCTTACAATTGGTAATATAACATGCATAGTTACAAACTAAACTTGTTAGTAGGCATATGACCATGGAGGACAGGTATTATAATTAACTATAATACCTCCATGAATACATGAACGACAGCCATTTTTTGAATTTCCGGAAATGTTTGCATACATTATGAACCTTTAGGTGTCAATCAAACTTAAGAACTGTCCAATCAGAGCATGGTAAAAAACACGCGCATGCACAAAACATTAAGTGCCTTAGCAACAATTTCCAAGGGGAGGAACTTAGCTGAACGTTTATTTATAGGCTTCCTATAAGGATACCTAGACTATTAATAACTACTTTTAGCATGAAAATTAAATCCATGGAGAATCGTGCATTTTAAATAGATACACACAGGACAAAATAAAAATGTAATCGACCTGAAGCAAACAAAAATAATACAGTATACAGACCTACATGTAACATTTTGTTCGTGTCATTATAAAGAAAATGTTGGAGCGAGGGCCTGCTACAGTATTACTATTACGCAAGCCTATACAAAATAAAAATAACATTTATAGAGAATATTTTTTGAATAACCCCACTTGTAATCGACCTGAAGCAAACAAAATATCATAGACCTACATGTAAAATTTTGTTCGTGTCATTATTATTAAAGAAAATGTTAGGATAAAGTTTACCTTTTTAATTCATTCCTATGAGTAATTCCTACCAATGCAACCTCACCACCATACCACCTCAGTGGCTTTCAATTGCAGGTTAGACCTGTTTTGTGGTTACCCTAAAATGTAGAACAATAAAACGACGATGCTTACGTATTGAAAAAACGATGACATCTACAATACCATGTTACCGTTTCCTTCTGGCGTAATTGAACCATGTGGGGTTTTTCGAGATGCTATATTTAGATCAGCTGGGATTTTTGGTTGTTAATCATTGGCCGTATTTGACTGGTCGTTCTTCGTTAAACCGCGCCCACCTGCGCAGCAGCGGTAAAATCCTACTTAGACGAAGACGAAGACGACTCAAATAGAAAACTGGTAAATACCATACTCGATAAAACAAAATGGCTGCATAGCTACCGCGATACAACTCCGTAATCAAGATTGCTTTGGACTGTGGCAGTATGGGGTTTTCGTAAAAAAATGTTTTCACCCAGTTTTTGAATTATGTTAGCCTACAATTATTTTTTGACTTCCTGTGGTTAAATATTATAATTTTTATCTGAAGTCTAAATTATATTAGCGCAAATGTTGTTGCTAAACTTACCAATCGGTTATGTTTGTTTTGGTCAAGTAGTTGGATTAACGCACTCTGGTTACGTTAATTTTCGTTGTCAACGAAGTCTATTATACGAACCAGTCGAATGAAAATAATATACTCTACGAAAAATCGTAGACAACGAAATGAACCAGTCGAATAGGTCCATAAGCCCAGTTTAAACTATAATGTGATAATAATCATGTGATTGTTGTATATTGCCACAATCAGGTGGCGCCAGCGGGGGAAGGGACAGGGTCCTGTCGGGGAGAAATACCACATGTCGTCAGGGAGAGCAAATAAAACCATTTATATGTATTTTCTACATATCCTTGTCTTTAAAGTCTATATAGGCCTATGCTATGCATTTGAAATCCCTATACAGTTCTCTTATACACATCTATTAGAGTCATAGAATAGCCTTAAAAACAACTCCTAGTATCATAATATGGAGTTACCGGATTGTATGCTTACAATTGGTAATATAACATGCATAGTTACAAACTAAACTTGTTAGTAGGCATATGACC